TATTAAATTAATTTATAATAAAATGTATAAATTTTTTTTTGTATTAATTAATTGTAATATTAATTATTTCTTATTCTATATTATTATTTATTTTAATTAAAATTTTGATAAATTAATTTAATTTTTTTTTTTATTTTAAATATGTGTTTGAATTTGTTTTTGTTTTTTTATTTTATATTTTTTTATATGGAAAAAAAAATTTACTTTTTGTATAAGAAAGTAAAAATGAAAAATGAACACTTTTTTTTTGTTTATTTAAATTTTATAATTTTTAAATTTCAAAAATTAGATTTTTTTATTTTGTTGCTGTTGGTGCGTTTTTTTTACGTTTTAAAATGAATTAATTGCATTAATAAGTAAATGTTAAGAAAAAAAAATACTTTTTTTTTAAAACAATATGCTTGTATTAAATTTTTATACTGAATTAATGTTGTATTAATGCTGTAAGTAATAATTATATTAATATTGAATTTGGTTGTATTTTTCAAAATTTTTCCACAATATTTTAAAATTTCGAAATTTTGTTTTATAATTTTTGTTTTATTGTTTTTTTTTTTATAATACTAAAGAAGATAATCAAAAATCCGTTTTGATTTTATTACAATAATTTTTTATAAATAATTTTTGTTTTTTGTTTTTCGAACACATTTAAAGGCAGTATTAAAGTTTTAATTTAATTATTTAATTTTGTTTAAAATTAGAATTTCAGTTATTTTTTTATAAAAATGTGTAATAAATTTTGTTCTCGTATTGTTAATACAAAATATGTTTGAGGTTATCAGTTAATGGTACTTAAATATTTAATATTATTACTTAGATTACACAAATACGATAATTATATTATACAATTGTATATTATATGTAAATATGTAATAATTGTTATATAAATTTATAAAATTTTTTATTTGTTTTTGTTAATTTATTTATTAATTTTTAATTTTCATTCACTTTTTATTTACAATAATTTTCATGCACTTATTTATTTTGCATATTAAAATTTATATTGGAATTTATTTGATTTTTTTTTTGTATTTGTTCTTTATACGATAAGCAAATCAGGATATAAATTTTTATTTTATTTTATTTTTAAATCATTACTTATATGAATTTACATATAATTTTTCAATTAAAAAAAAATTTAAGTTTTCAAATTTCTTCGTTTACTTTTCGTTTTGTCATTCCCTATTTATTCTTTTTCTTTATTTTTAATTAATACAAATTATTTTTTTTTTTTGTGAATGCCTTTTAGAAAGAAAAATTCAAAATTTAGTGTTATAAATAAATTATAATAATTAAGAATAAATGAAAAATTACAATTTTAGCACACACATAAACATACTCTTAATAAATTGAACGAAATTAATTTTATTTTTAATTTACCTATGCATGTACATGCGTCTAATATATTTTTTTAATATATTATCTAAATATATTTTATTTTATGAATATTATATAGCAATATGTAGAAATGTGCATATTATGTATATTTTTAAATTATGTACACATAATATTATATATATGTATGTATTTAAAAAATTCGTATATTTATACAAATGCATATATTTATGTAGTAAATTTTATGTTGTATACGCTTTGTTTTCATTTTCTTCTGAAGAAGAATAAATTATATTTTTTTATTAATTTAAAAGATACAGATTTTTATGTTGATATCTTTAAATGTATTTGTAAATAAAAATGCACGCATGTAAAATATCCAAAAAAAAATATACAAGAGAAAAAAAATCAATAAAGCATAAAAATTGAATCAGCGCAACAAGGAGAGTGAGAGAGAGAAGGAGAATGAGAGAGTAAAATAATGAAACTAACAGTAAAAGAGAGGATAACATTAATATAACATAACATTATATTTAACAGATGAACAAAATTAGAGAATTTTTTTTTTTCTTTTGTGAGATGATTTTTTTTATGAAAACAAAAAGCGTTTTCTTTTTTCTCTCTCCTCATGTAAATTAGAAAATTTGATAATGTAATATTGATATTCTTATATTATTCTTTTTGTATATACAATATTACCCAAGATTTTTGTATTATTTTTATTTTACGTACATATGTGTGTACATTATTAAATATAATTTTCATATCTGTACTTTTTTCGATTATTCTTTTTTCGCTGTTTTGTTTTCTTTAATGCATATGAGTATCATATGTAATTAGTATGTATATATGTATGTATACCTAAAACGAAGGCAGGTAAATTATACGTATGGAATTAAATAATGATAGCGTTATGCTTTTTTATACAATCAAACTCTCGGTGTATTATGTTAAATAAATTTGTATACCTATAGATATACATAGATAGGTAGGTATATTATATTTTCAATTTTCATAAAATGCATTTGTGTTTGTGGTGGTTTTTTTTTTTTTTAATAATTCATTTTTCTTTTAAACATCAATAAACATTTCCATATACATAATTGTTTATACATTGCGTTGATAATAAAAACTATGTGTGTGTTAGTGTGTGCTAAATAAAAAAAATTAAATGTATTTTGTTATACGCTATACATACTTTAATATTTATGTTTTTTGTTCTTTTATTTTTAGTTTACTCTTTCCTGGCTTAGTAGATTAGAACATAATTTTTGTTCTTTTAGAACTTCTTCGTTAAAATGAATTTTTTAGAATATGGAAAAGGGAGAGACAGAGGAGAGTTAAGGTAAAAAAAATTATTTTTTCTTTCGTTTTTACTTTTCTGTTTTTTTTTTTATCTACAATATTGTTGTTATATTTATGATTTCTACTTTTTCTTTTTTGATTTATATTTTATTTCTAACTTGGATTTACATACATATTTTTTTTTCATTTATGTAAGTATACTTTAAAAATTTTGTATTATGTAAAAAAAAGAAAAAAATATTTTTTATTAAATTCACTGAATTTTATTTTTCACTATTTTATTTGTTGTATAATTTTTTTTTCAATTTAATTATCAGTTTAATTAATTTTTTTTTGTATTTATTAAATTATATTATTTAATTTTTCTGTTGTTGCTTCTCTTTTCCTTTATTTTTTATGAATTATCGATAATTGTTTGTTTGGAAGTGTGTATGTAATAAAAACTTTTACTTTGTCTTATGTATACATAAGCATAAATTTTTATATTATATAGGTATTATTAAATTTTTTTTGTATAGGTATAAATGTAAAAGTTTTTGTCTTATATATATAAAAAATTTTTATATTTAAGTATGTAGGTATTTCTTTAATTAATAATTTTTGTCTTTTTATTTTATATTTCGCGTTTTTTATTAAAAATATTCTTTTTTTTTGTAATAAATTTAATACAATTATATTATAATGTGAGTATGTATAATTTACGAATGAATTAATAAAATTTATTTAAATTTAAAGGCAGTATACTGTTATTAAAATTTTCTTTTTTTGTAATTCAAAAAAAAAAAATTTCCTCCCGCACGTTTATCTAACTGCGGCCAACTCTCGATGATAACTAAATTTAATACTAAAAAAAGAAAATCATTTTTGCTCTTTTCAAAGTATCTTCAAAAATTTTATTCTCTGAGTATATTAATCTACACAAAAAAATTATATTTATATAAATATATTCCAAACAGAGAAGAGAATTGAAAAGAAATACAAAAAATTATCCCTTCAATTAAATTTCGGAAGTGTGGTGAAAAAACAGTAAATAAAATTTAAGATATTTAGGTAAGAAAAAAAACAACTTTTAATATATATATATATCTTTTTTTTTTGTTCGAATATTAAATAAAACGCTTAAATTCCCCTTGAAAAAAAAAAAAAACAAAATAAAAAAAATTTTTCTATTCTAAATAATTCTCTTTTTAATTTACTTTAATTGTTTCTCGCATACAAAAGTACCGTTTATAAGTGGATATGCACTATGGTGAATTTTAATTTTCGGAAACAAATATGTAGATATACTTATATGATAACCATAGATATGGTGTAATGCTGCAGCAATTTTTATTAAAAGGGGAAAAAAAATCAATAGAGTAGATGGGATGTTTCTCACGTAGAATATTTTTTATTAATTTTACTTGCTAATTTTTAATTTTAATATTTTATGTTGAATAAGTATGTTTATATTGGAATATTATTGTATGTGTGAGTTACATAGAAAAAATAACATTTAGATTAAAATTATTTATGAATGTATTAAGATTAGATTTACCGTTTATATAAATTGTAGCATTTTGTTCTCTAGAATTACATTGAAAAAGTACAGAAAAACAGAATTTCTGATGGAATAAACATCAGAATTTTGTTCATGCCCGAACGTTAAAATAATTATAGGCTTGGACATTTACAAAATAAAAGAGAAAAAACTAACGTAAGAAGTTTTTCTTTTTTATAACAATTAATAATACTACATATTTTTATTATTACTTCAAATGCAAAATAATAAAGGTGTTACAAATCCAAATTATTGATTATAAATTTTGATTCAAATTCGAAAATAATTAACCAACACATTCATTAAATACTTTTTAAATAGAACTGAGAATTCTTTTATTTTTTTGCAGATTCATATTGATAAAAGATTTTTTGTATTAAAATAAAATCTAAAGAATTGAGGTAAATTAAGCGATTTTCTTCAAGTTAAATTTGCTGAATTTCATTTTAACACTTTTGTATTAATTTTTTAATTCAAAAATACATAAAATTGCGTTTGTATTCGCGAAACATCTTTTTTTTAATTTTATAAAACCTGTTTGATGCCACCCCTCTCATATTCTAATGAAATTTTTTAAGTAGTAAACGTAAATATTATTACTTAGCACATTATAATATAAAATCAGCTGTTCTGTTATTGTTTACGAATTATCCGAGGTAAACAAAAAAAAAAATTTTGCTATGGAAACTTTAGCAAGAAGTACAAACAATATTATGAAAAAATCAATATGAAAATTAAAATTCAGTTCAATTGCATATTGAAAATAGTTTTTTCTTTTCAGTTTGAAATTAAAAGTGATTTCAATTAAAAAAATTCAATAATGAATTCTAAGAAACGACGACAAAGAAGACATAACAAAAAACGTAAACCAAAAGTAACCAAGGAATATTTAGAAACGGAATCAGAAATTTCGAATCTTTTACAAAAATCTCAAATAGTTTCACTTGAAGAAAGTGATATAAATTCAGCAGCAGAAATTGAGTTTTTTACGGCAAAAAATGAAAAAAATGAAGAATTAACTACTCATTCCTTAGAGAATATCCGAGAAAGTGGAAAACGGTTATCAATAGATTCAGATGATCCTAAAGAAAAGCTGGAAATAGAAACGGATGTACAATCAAGAGCGGTAGTACATCCGGTATCTTCATTTATTCAAATTGATGATCTAAGTCCTGTACGAAAAATTTCAAAAGAGAAAATAGTATTTACGGACGATCTAGTATATTATCCTCGAGCAGATGTTAAAACAACAAATATAAAAATTCTTGACCAAGTTGAAAGTTTTGGCGAAGATGGTGTACATCACGAGACTGTTACTATTGAGAAAGACCAAAATTTAATTCGAATGGTTAACAGATTTAATGAAGAAGGAAAATTTAATTTGATATCGTCTACAAAATATATTGAAAATCAACAAAAATTTTCTAATAATCAAAAACTATACAAAACTGAAGATGTTGAAAAAAATTTTATACCATTTTATTATGCTGTTCCTGTTACAGATATTCAAAGAGAATTTTTATCTACAAATAAACTTTTAACACTAACTATTAATGAATTAAAATTTACGGAACATTCTTTGCATTCAGATGAGCATCGATTGGCAATAGAACTAGAAAATACATTTGCAGGATACCAAGAATTAAGTCAACAAAACACAATAAAAAAATTAAAATTAGAATTGAAAAACTTAAGAGAAACATTTCAATATTTTTTAGAGAATGAAATTCAAGAAGAAAATGTGGAAAAGTTAGAAACTTATTCGCAACAAATAAAATTTTTAAGAAAGAAATTACATAAAGAAGAAATGAATTTTAAAACTTTGATCCAAAACACATTAAACCAATGGAAATTATTGAAAAATTGTAGAAAAATGCAAGGATATAACTATACAGATTTTAAATTGATAATTCAAATTGAAGAAATCGATCCTGAAGAAGATGAACAAAAATGGAATGAAAGATATCAAACTGAATTGAATGAAATATTAAGAGAAAAATTTGAAAAATATTACAAAGAAAAAAGATTAAGAAAATCAAAAAAAGGAACAGACGATATTCGAAAATTTCCAGTATTAAGGAAACCTGATGCAAATGAATTAAGCATTGAAGTTGAAAATAATTTAAAAGCATGCACAAGGCGAATTGGTGAACCTAAAATAAAATTATTTAAAACAAAATTAGAAGATCGTTGCAAAAATTTAGATAAATTTAAAGATTATTTTTTGCAAATAATATTTGAAAAAGAATTCGTTGGAGTAACGAAACATTTTCACTTAAATTCTGATTTTTTAATTGAAATCAATCAATCTTTTGGTGTTTATTTGGAAAAAAATATACCAAAAACTATAAAAATTGAGGTGAGAATAATTAATATGTTTTCTACTTTCCATGTTTACCTCTTAGACTTTTTTTGTCATAGATTTTTGAAAAGAACAAACTATCATCACCGGAAAAACTTTGCAAATGTTACATTCCATTGCAATTAACGGTAGACTATAGTGTGGGACAACAAGAAACTGTAGAATTTTCCTCAATCAGTAAAACTGAGAAAATTTCAGGCACTTTAAAAGTTACAATATATTGTGAAAATCACTTGAATCCGATCGATGTGAATACTGAAAAGTCTGTTGTGAGAACTAATTCAAAATTGAAGATTTCCAAAGAAGTTCTTAAATCATGGTATGAAAATAATTTGATTAATCCTTTAGATCCGGAATGTGTATCTCTGTACAATAACATATCCGAAAAATACATTGAAGACCAAGAAGTTAAAGAATCGAGTGCTATTGAAGACAATGAAAATTTTCATTTCAATGAAGATTTATTGGCGTTTTGTTCAAGAGCTGAAATCGATGATAATCCACGCTTTAATATGTTAAAAGCACGATATTATAAAGATATGAAATATAAAAATTTTAAATTAATACCATTATATGAAAATGAGATTGAAGAAATCGATAACGAAGTTAAAGTGTTGGACGAAGGTAATTGGATGGATGCAATCGATTTACGAAAATACAAAGGAAGAAAATATATACAAAAATTATATGAAACTGTACTCAATCATTGCGCACAGTTAAAAATTGATGAAGGCAATTCTAATTTATTGATTGGTGACGAACCCCCGACATGGCGCTCCATTATAAATTCAATTAGGAGTATTTTTGGACCAAGTAGACCATTAAATCCAACTAAAACTATCCAATCGGTAAATTTAGCAATATTACTTAAAAAATTGTACTTTTTAATGAATTCTTATATTTTAGATATCACCACTCAGTTCTCGTTTAGAAAATTTTAATATTGTACTTAATATAGTACGCGCAACAGGTATTCCAATAAGAGATACTGATCCAGAATCCGTAAGAAGAAGTGTAAGTTTATCTTCAGAGACAGAAAAACAATCACTTAAATATGAAAATGTTAAACCATATGTTTCCATAAGCTATAAAGATAAAATGGTTCGAACAATGACTGCTGAAGGTTCAAATCCTACTTGGAACGAACAACTTATACTTCAAATAAATGAAAATAAGGAGAGTTTAAAAGAGGACCTTGTAATTCAAATATTTGATGAATATATGCAAGATTTAATCCATGAAGAAAATATAAGACCTATGGAAGTTTACCAAATAGTTCATACGAACTGGTTAGGAGAATACCGAATTCCAATAAAAACAATCTTTGACAGACAAAACATTGAAGGAAGTTTTGAAGTAAATATACCTAAGTTACTAATTGGATATTCTAAGCCTGTAATTGATATAAATCAGGATGGTGATGAAATTCTAAATGTTGACTTATTGGAAATTCGAGATTCAGTTTACATTTGGTTGTACATTAATGTAGAACCTAAATTCGATGTACAAGTAGTTGACAAAACCCCTTTGGAATGTTCAGAACTAAGAGAAATTAAAATGCAAATTGAAGAATGGTGCATACAAATCAAAGACTTAGTTCCTTTAAGATTTTTAAATCCTTTGATTTGCACTGAGTCTGGAAAACGGATATGTATGACAAGACTATTAGAATGTGTGCCTTTACCTGTTGATACTCAATTTGAAAATATAGAGAACTTGATACGCCATTATGTATCCTTAATTCCAATTCTAAAAAATGAAACGGATTGTATGGGTTTAGAAGGGGTATGGTTAAGTAATCAAACTATTTTAGATACTACATGGGCATCTCCAAAAGATTTGGGCGTCCTTTTGGCATGCTACTATATGACAATAGGAATAAGATGCTGGTTAGCGTTAGGAATAAGCTGCCCAAATGGCGAAACTGCTTATATATTGACGCAAGAAAATTCAAATTTCATTTTAACTGATTCAAGCACCGGAAAACGATATAATAGCAAAGATGTTCAATGCCCTCTCAATAAGGTTTACTATTTAGTTGGTCAGGAAAATATTTACTGCAATTTACAAAAAGCAGAACGGGTTTCGATGACTGACTTTAACACAAATGACAATTCACTTTGGCTTCCGCTGTTCACAAAAAGTAATCCAGCTCCAATTGGTGGTTTTCATAGCTTGAATTACAAATATAGTAACTCGTACAACATTTTCGAATTGCGTAAAAATATAGAAAGAAAAATTATGAAAAAAATCAGTTCATGGCGTTCTACTAGAAAAACTATTTGGAATAGAGCTTATACTGAGATTATGAATGACATTTTATTGACCTTGGAACAAGATACAATTTTAGAAAATACTTCGGAATATTGTATTGAAAAATTAACAAAAGAAATTACGAACTACAAAATTTTTGGATTTACATTAAACTTTCCGTACATTAATTTAACAACAATATCCAAGCAGATTCGTGGCACAGCAATACACACAAGAGTAGATAAAGACATCGAATACGCACTTTCAGTTTACGTACAACAATACCCAAACACCATACTTTCATGTTGGATATTTTTAATAACATTAACCCCTTCCACTTAAATCAAAAAATGCAAAAAAAATAAATTGTACTTACAATTGATAGTAGTTTAAATTAAAATAAATAAGTCCTATTCCATATAAAAAAGATTTATCTCTCCAATAAGTTTCATCTCTTAATTTTAAATAAATTCTATATGCAGAAAGTGCTAAAATAAGAAAATGATATTAAAAACTTTATCGGGATACGTTCAATAAAATGAAATTATTTGTTACCTTTAGCATTTTCTTCTAACAGTAAATTAAAATGTCCCAATGTGCAATACGTTTTTGGATCGACAAAAACTTCTTCTTTAGCTTTTTCTTTATCCCTTTGTAAATGTCTTACTCTTTCAATTTCATTTAATGACAGATCCTCCATTTCAATATCTTCAACTTCTAATTTAATAGGAGTCCCATCAGCCATTGTATTTGGATCTCCTTTATTCGACTTTTCTACTTTTTCTTGTGGTTCTATATCAATATCCATTGTTTCTTCTTTCACTTTACTATCTAAATTTAGATTCAAATCATTTGATGATAAATTTTCATTATTTTTAATAATTTGAGATTGTTTTGTTTGTTGTGCTAATTTTTGCTTTCTGGCTTTAATTAGAAGTCCTTCTAGGTTTTTTACTGCTTTCATCAATAAAAAACGAATTTTTGCATTTTCATTTGGTAAAATTGGTAAAAATCCGTAATAAGTACTAAAATAAAATAAACCATTTGCTTTTAGTTGTGATTAGTAACTTAAATTCTAAATGTTTTTAATGAAATATCAAAATATATAAAATTTCGAACTGCTTTTACCCCCCAAATTAGAAATTCCCTTTTGATTCTGATATTCTTCAATTGCTTACCTGTCCAAATCCGAAAGCAGAACAAGTTCTTGTGTTGTCAAATGTAAATCATCGTTATCTTCTTCCATTGTTTTTTATGTTAATAATAATTTCAATATATTTACTGTGATTATGAATTTTAATTTGTTCAATCTATAATTTGTTTATAAATTAAAAACAAAAGTATATTCACGAAATTTCACGCGCACAAAACAAATGCCATTCAAAGTTATTTTGATTTGACAAGCTCAGAATGACATTTCATCACTATTAAAATTGAATAGTGAATACACGTCCGTAGAATTCACATTTTCGCATGAAGTGTCAAAAGCTCTTTCTCTTAAAAATTTTAAGTAGTTCACAATATTACAGCAATTTTTAAAAATTTTATGTCAAATACCGTTATGCTTGTGAGTATTACAAATATTTTTTAATAACTGCTGACAAGAAAAATGAATTTCACTAACATATGTTCACATATGCAGTAAGAATATTATGTATTTAAATTAATTACTTCAATCAATTATTATTGATTCAATAGTGAATCGGAAAAACAATTATTTTTTGTTTCCTACAATTGAATATCAACGGCATATATAGAACTTTCTTAATAATCTACATAATTTCAAAATTCTATAAATTAAACATAAAAAAATATTTACGTAGACTGGCAATGCTAAAAAAATACCTTACTATCAAAAAATTTTGACAGCGACATTTTAAAATTTTAATGTATTTTTGATATGAAGAAAAGTCGAAAAAAATATTTCTTTCAGACGCGAACGAGGAAGGTGATAAGTACGCACAACTTATGTACCTTTCATTTTCTATAGAAAAATTTGTTTAGTGGATTTACTCGTTCAGTTTCAGTGTTAAAAAATATTAACGTTCTAAAGTACATTTAAGAAAAAATATATAAAAATGAAAATTTGGACGTCGGAACACACTTTTAAGTAAGCGTATAAATAAAAGAAATACAAAATTTTAAGAAAAAAGTTTTAGCCAATAAAAAAAACGCATCTCTTGCATTAAGTGAAATACAATGAATTTAAACTATCAAATTGGAAAAAAAAATGGTTAATTAGGAATTTGTAATTATGTTTTGAGAAAATTTAATTATTAGGTTTTGAAAACTGAGAAAATAAGAAAGGAAAACTTTTCACAAATTTTCAAGGACAAATTCATTAGACGTAAAATAATTGAGAAAAATGTATCATCAAGTTGCTAACCTGAAAATTTTAAATTGTGACGTAACAAATAATATGAAAAGTTTGAGAAAATTTTTCCGAAACAACTTATTAGTGCTTTGTTTATTTTTATTCTACTTAATATAAAATTGATAAGCAAATTGTTTTTTGTTGTCAAGCTTAATTAAAGATTTAAGCTTTTCTTAAATATTTCACAATTTCCTGTTAAATAAATAAGTCAAAGACAAAAATAAGAAAAGAAACAAAAAAAAATTAAATGAGTACAGATATTGGAAATTCCATAAAATAAAAAAAAGCAACACATGCATATTGAACTAGCTTTTTATGCTAATGAGGCAAGCTAATTTTGTGCCAAAACAAGAAGTTTAATAAGTTTTTAAACCTTGAATACATCGTTTTAAAATTATTTATTTTTTTTATTTTATTAAAAAATCAAAATTAACAAAAAAGACTTGTTAATGAATAAGAATGGAAGAAAATTTTTTATTTATCATCCAAATTCTTTATTTTCTCTTTTGATTAAATTTAAAAATATCCTTCGTGGAATTTTTCAATGCGAAGGCAAACAATGAAATTAAATTTTAAAATACTTCGCAGTTTCATAATATCATGTCGTCATAAATATAAGAAAAACGTACAAATAAAATCAAAAAAAACGTCTACTTGGACTTTGTAATTAAAAAGAAATAGAATGGAAACAAAACAAATACATATTCTTGAATGATAAAGTATTATAAGTAGCAATTCAAAAAAATTAAAAGCTCATAGGTACGAAACATCTGTTTATTCCCAGGTTAATTATTTAAAGTAAATTTTCATAACTTTAATTGATATTGGGTAGGCAACCATTAACCGATTATGAAAAATAGGTAGGATATCTGCACAATTAATTTTGGTACCTACCTTGTTGGGTTAGAAGTAGACACATTTATACCTAAATTTATTAAGGGGACACATGTATACACAAGTAGACATGTATATCTAAAATTATTTACGTAGAATAAAATTTTGGTTAGCCCAACTAGATCTGGCTAAAATATAATATAGGTATACTAGATAGTATGTTCGAATTGTAAAATTACTGCCTCTAAATATTTAAAATATGTAATAAATATCATATGTACTACCTTCTCCAATACATATGTACATTGATCATTATATGAATTATACGAATTATAGTTATTATAGTTATATGAAGTTATGATTCGAATATTATTAATTAAAAAAAACTATATGAGTAGTTTAATAGAACCTTTGTAATTAATGTTTTAATTTTTTTTTAGTCATCCGTGGGAAACTGTAACACAAGCCGCATGGCGTAAATATCCAAATCCAATGACCCCAGCTGTGGTTGGAACAGATGTAGTGGAAAGAAAAGTCATTGATGGAGTTTTACATACACACCGTCTTGTTAGTTCAAAATGGTATTTTCCAAAATGGGCGCAGGCGGTAAGTCTTTAATTAAGGTCTTTTTTTTTTTTAATTTTATCATCCTAAACATCAAATATAGCAATATTTATAGAGGCTCTCATTTATGTAATTCAAATTAGTTTCGTCAAAATGTAATTAGGATAGTGATTTTAATATTCATCGGAATAGAATTACTCATAGATTTGTTTTCATATAATAGAAAAAATGGTAACGTAGAAGTTATTTAACTTTCAGTGACAAAAATTAATTGATTGCGCTTATTGATTATCATTATATTATTTTATATTTTGTTTTATACTTTGAAAAACGTCACAGCTAAAGTGTTCTGCTTATTTGATTATATTTTTGATAAGATCAACATTAAATTGTTTAATTAACCTCAGTAAATTATTGCAAAATCTTTTGGTTTATTTATTTGTTCTATTTATATTATAATGTTTATGTAGATATAGAATAAATACACAGTCAATACATTATTAATCAACAAAGCAAATTAAAATATTGTCATTGACGTAAATTTCAAATTAAAAAATGTGGAAATTCAAATATATCCGAATTTAAAAACAAAATTTATATGTACATATATGAATACAAATTTAAAAAGAAGGCTTTTTGCATTTATTAATTAAGATAGAATTAAAATCTCGAATTCTAGTAAGAAAAGAAATCGAAATTGTGACTGCATATTGATTCTTTGTGATGTTTTAATTTTTATTCGTAGGTATGACGTCATCTTTACATATGTTATTAACGTAGGCATAAAATAGTATGTGAATAAATTACATTTTTCCATTAAATTTTTTTTTTAATTCCCTTATTTTGTTAAAATATTATTTTCAATATTTTGTTATAACATAACAATAAATAAATAAAAAAGAAATGATTCTGTTTTTTACCATTACGTAAAGTACTTTGTTCTGTCTACTATTATTTTTCATGACATAATATTAAATTTAGTAGAAAATTTGGAATAACTTTGAGTAAAAATAGTCTTTTTTCTGACACGTTTTAAAGTTTACAATAAATTTTGTTTTTGCTTTGTCGAGAGCGAATTGGCAAATTGGAAAATTTTAAAAGAAAGTCATTCAGAGCAATTTCGTCAATTTGCTTTAAATTAAAATCTAAATTTTTAATTATCTTTCAAACCTCGTTCTGTATATTATATTGTGAGATGTATAAACAAATAGGTGATGAATGTGGTAAATAATGAAACATAACTTGATCCTTATAATTTCAATTTGTGTTTCTATATACGTTGATCCGCAATGAATTTCTATAACGAAAATAGGCCTAAAATAGTATTCTCAAAAATTGTTTTTAAACTGATTTTTATTTTTTGAAATTGATTGCTTTTATCGCTTACAAATTTTGTAAGTGCATTACTCTTATAATTCTTGCTACATAATTTGATTTCACTGTTTAAATTTTTCTTATTTTTGCTATTGTAAACATAAATTTTTACCATATTGATGCGAGCTCAGGCTTCTTTTTAATATACTACAACTTAAACGTTTTTTTATTTATTTAATAATTATTAAATTAAAAAAAAATTTACCTCAGAATTATTATGTTATGCAATTTTATACACATTTCGGAATTTCATTCTATTTTAGTTTAATCTATTTTAAAAAATTTCCAACAACGTCATGAAAAATTTTTTTTGTTCTTTTTAAATTTTTTTACCTAAGAAAATGTTCTTACGTATTCGATTAAATTGTTTTGTTTTAAAGATTTTAAATGAAAGTCAGAAAAGGAAGTGATTGATATTAAGAAATTTGTAGGTGGAAAGTTTTCCAAAATGAAGGAAATTTTATCGTAAATATTATTGAATTTTGTTTAGGGTTCATAAAAAGAAATCAAGTTCGTTGCAAAATTGTCTTCATTTATTTTCGTAATGTTATGTTCGATTTGTTTTTTTGGAAAATTTTTTTAAAATTTAACGCTAATATCTTTAAAGGAAATATGAATGTACTTTCAAATTCTTTCTTTAAAGAATCTTGTCTTGTTTTAAAAAATCTATTAAACCTGTGCCCTATTTTCTGATTTATACGCTTTTTGCAGCGTATTTTTTTTAAGTTAAATTAATTAAGGTTCTCAAAGACATCAAGTTTTTAAATAATTGATTCAATTAAAAAATTAAAATGTAAAAATACCGTTATCATAATAAATAATGTTACGCAATGACAAAAAACATAAAAATTGTGATATTACGATCAAATTTTAACCGACAGGTTGCTGTTGAATTGATTGTGTTCCTTACAATAAATCCCAAAGAGCTTTTATTATATTTATTTTTAGTTTTTTTTGTTTTAGCGAAATTTTACAGTATATTTTTGTTTACAATTTATACTTATGCAAATTTTTTTTAATTGAAAGCTTTTTTAATTCATATGTTTCAATATTAATTCTGCGACGTAAAATGTTTGATATACAGATCAGTAATAAAAATTTTGAGTAATAATTTTTACACAAAAAAATCATGCGCACATACTGTTGATATTTATACAACAATATTAATGAAATAGTAAACTATTAAAAAAACTATACTACATAGTTTCCTGAAAATTCCGGCGAATATTAATTGCTTATTAAAAAACATGTTAAAATTTCTGAAAATAAAAATATGGGATATATTTTGCTAATAGATATTGTTTATTGTTACACCTGTTTTACATTTTATTTTCCCTTATTCTGCTGCCATTTAAATATTTTCCCAAAATACCTGTAAAATCTGTTACTGCAAAAATATTGCGACATACTTTTGCTAAATAAAAACAGTAAACATTCATTATTTGAAAGTCTAAAACGTGAGTTATATTGTAATATCTTGCTCATGTCAATATAAAAATATACAAGTACCACAATTTCGAATTTTCTCTTTTTTGTAGTCTAATATTGACGCCGTCATATGGTTGGCTATTTAAATTTTTAATTTTATATTGTGATTCTCGTGTCTATATTAATTTGGCAAATAATTGATTTTAAATTTAGAATTAACAAAATGTCAAAATAATGTTTGCCTTAAACACTTACAACAATTTTATTCATTATTTTTGTAAAATCAATTTTTCATTATACTTAAAAATGGTGAGAAATATTCCTTTTTATAATGTACATATCATATATGTATATGGTATTGATATTTTAATTGAACAATAGGATATTGTTCAATTAAAAATTTATTACAAACATATATGTACATATATATTTTTCGCTATCAATCAATAATGACCATTATAATATGTGCATAAAATAATAATATAATTCAAATATAATTTTCAATTACAGCTCATTGGAACAGCAAAAGTATGTTACGCTAGTGAAAAATCCACTGTTGATCCAATATGCAAACAAATGACATTGAAAACAATAAATCTAACATTTTGCCGGCACATATCTGTTGATGAAGTGTTATATTATTCACCACATCCAACAGATTCAACAAAGACTTTATTAAAACAGGAAGCAACAGTAAGTGTACATGGTGTACCGCTCAGTCATTATATGGAAGATTTATTAACATCATCAATTAGTTGTAATGCTAATAAGGGTAGACAAGGTTTAGAATGGGTTATTAGTAAAATTAATTCAGAGGTAAAATTTTTATATCAATAGTATTTTAAACATTTTATAATAATTTTGTAGAAAATTAATGCATTTAACGCATAACTAATTATTATTTTTAAATATAAAATAGGTTAAAGGTATTGCTACTTCTGCAGTTAAAAGTACTGATGAATTGATAACACATACAAAAAAATCATTTGATGATATGGCTGATAGTGCAAGAAAAAGCATGGATGAATTAAGTGCAACAGCGTCTAAACATATAAACTTTTAGCAATTGGAAGAATTTAGATGTAATTCGCCGACAAATACACAACAATATCTTTTTTAAAAAGTAAACAAAAAAAAAAGTAAAACAAAATATTATTGTAATCACTAACTATTAAAAGCAATTTAAAACTAAAAATGTATAAAATTGTATTACTAAAGATAAAAAAACATTATTTTTGTAATAACGAGAATTACTTTCAAAATTTTATATTATAAAGAATTCTCTTTAATTAGTAATACTATTATAGATCATACGCTTTACCAGAAATATTCAAATGAGGAAATCTTAAAAAAATTTTAGCTATATTATATATCTTAAATATTTACGATACATATATGTGTATTAAATATATATTAATAATTAAGAAAATATGCAGAAAAATATTTATTAACTAGATATTTATTTCATGGAACTGAAAGGTACAAAACAAAAATTGTTTGTAATCTTTTTTTGTTGTTTTAAATTTCAATTAAAAACAAACATCTATAGTGTTCTTGTAAAATATAGAGTTTTTTTTTTCAATAATTTTTTGAAACTCTTGTATAAAATTTTCTTTTGAACCTAACATTAAAATCTTTTAAATTAAAGTTTCTGGTTTTACAAGTTTCTGAAAACATAATGCTTTTGTTTTATTTTTACTTCACAAATGTTTTTGTTCATTTTTATATTAATATATCCATTGTTACAAAATATATTTACTGGATATTTTTAAATAAAATTTTCTTCTGATGCAACAAACTTTTGTAAACTCTTTTGAATATTTACACATGTCTATTACATTTCGATATTTTGTGTCAAAATACATTTTTCCTTCCAATAGGATCACAATTCATTTTCTCATATATTTCAAATAGTAAAATAATTAAAATTTTAATGTAAAGAAAAGTATAAATGTACGTAAGTTATCAAACATATAGAATATTTTATGTTTTTGTATAATATTATTAAATTAACATAAGAAATGTTTAATTTTATTATATATGTATATACATATATTAAGAAAGTTTCATAAGAACAAAAAAAGAAAACTAAAATTTGATAAATAAACTTTGTCGCTTTATCACAGAAATTAAGTAAATACAATTTTAATAAATACAAAGATTAAGTTCAAAAATTTTTGTAATTTTTCTTTTAAATTTGTTTGTTTTGATTAATTGATAACTTTAATATTAAAATGAATTTTAATCGAATTCAGTTGAAAATGAAGATATAAACCTTATTTTAAACTAAAATATGTAAACATAAAATGAAATTTGTTTATAGTTTATTTGGTCCATTTGTTAATATATTTTTATTTGTATCGTATTAAATTCAAAATTTTTGACTTTAATTAATTTTCTTATAAAAATGACAACATTTTATGCATTATAATTATATTCATTAATGAATAGTTATTGCTGTACATTGCTATTTTTAATAATTTGTTTTAATTAAGTGATCTAGTAGAAAAAGACGTTAAATTTCTTTCATGAAATTTATATTTTAAAAGCAAATGCATACTTGTAAACATACATACTTACTTCATTCGGAATATAGAAATATAAACGCGATCACTAAAAATTTTTCATTTGGGGGTATTAAAATTTACTAATCTTATCAAAAATAATTTTTGTGTATTTAATATTTATTAAGAAATTTGAAGAGTAATATTTTTCAACATTTTGTTTATTTTAATTATAATCAATAATTCCAAAAATAAATAAAAAGATTTTTTTTTTTTTGGCATAATCTCGCCTTTTTTTTTTTAATTAATTTATTTTAATATTATGTAGATAAAATTTATAAATGTAAATTGGCAAAAAAAAGAAAAAAAAAGTCTTTAATTATTTTAAAATAATTGAAGCTAACATTGAAAAAATGAATAATAAATTGATATTGTAATGATGAGATAAAAGAAAAAGAGTAACATCTTTTCTTTTTGTTTTAGAAAAGAATTCTTATTAGAAAATTTAATAAAATAAATTCAAAATTGAACAACAAATTTATTTTTAATTTATCTTTAAAAAACTAGTTTTCTCCATTATTCCAGCTAAAAATATTTAAGATGATGCCGTTCATTGATTCAGATTCGAATTTCTCTACATATTTGATTTCTGCATAAAAATTTGAGACGAAGGGATTTATCTCTTTCAAAAAAAATATAAGCTATAGCATATTAAATTAACTTTTTAATAGTTAAGCTCCGGGTGCTTTAAATTTATCTAAATATAGTATGTACTTTTATATACGATGTATCCCTAGTAAAAAAAATTTACATATAAAAAATCACGAAATAAGAGCCTTGATATTAGAAAATAAAGATATATTAGCACTGGTATAGCTGAAGATATACATTTCTCTTTTTGCATTTTCAAATTATGTTTAGGGGAACGAGATAAATTTTCTGAAGATATGAAGTAAATAGAATTCGATAACTCATACACTATAATACATTTCGTCTATTTAATTTTACAATATTACATTTATATTAAAGTGCTATGCTGAAGTAAGCACGCCATCGACCGGGAGTAGATAAAATAGAGCTTGAAATTAAACTGCGTGCTATAACGATATATGTATGTAATAAAATTTTATTAAGACCAAAAAATTCAATTCATGTTTATTGAAATTTGCTCTTAACTTTGACAAGCTGATAATGGAAAAACGTGAGGTAAAAAGTAATTTCAGGACAAACATTAATCTCTTATGTCAAGCTTTAAAATTAAAATTTAAATTTTTTATTATCATATCAAACTTTAATCTTTTTATAAATATGCAAAAAAACATAATTATCTGTTGAAGAGCCATCCAAGTTTGATAAAAAAAATTTGTACCAACTACTTGAAAATTTAATAGCTGTCAATATTATTGTTAATCAGTATAAAAATAAATTTATTAATAAAGGTACAATTCAAAAATTTTTAGTAATCGTACGCTTGTTCCTTGTGAGAGACGCTTAAAAATGACTAAATTAATAATTTTTTCTATATTGTTAATAATTAATATTAACAAAGTATTTTGTATACCTTGTTGTGGAGAAATAATTGGTAAATAAAAAACTTATTTTAAAATTAGATTATATTCTACTTACGTTGAATTCTTATTATTCTTTTACAGATGAATTTGATTTGAAAAAAAATGAAATGAAATCATTTTTTTATAATCAAACAGAACAGGAAAATTGTTTCCGTTTTTCAGTAAAACGTTTAACAGATTATGATTTAAACGATGACATATCATTTTTACTTGCTGAAGATGTTAAAAAACCTGAAAACTTTATAATCATTACATTAATGAACAAAATGGCTAATATGAAAAAACAAACAGCTACAGGTCATTGTTTCTTAACGGAATCCAGAAATAAAGATATTATTTTTAACGATTGGGAATTCGTCAGTTTTTGGCTTCAATCAAGTAACGGAGAGCTTACATTAAGACATGAATTAGGCCCAAATGAATACAGTGAACCATTTTTAAAATTTAATCGCGACATAGGCTTTAAAGTTAATAATTTTGTGGTTACTCACGATTACAGCTCGAAAGGATATTGGCAAATCAAAAGTAAGCTTTTTTCAAATTAAACTATTTAAATTTTGCTTTATTTTTATTCACTTTTTAGTGGCAGACTGTTCTCAATTACCAAAATAATGTGTTCTTGTAATGCGCAAGATAACATCCAATTTAATTTTATAAAGTTGCATAATATTGTCTTTTTATAATTTGTGGTTATTTGATTAAATCTTAAAATCTTAAATTTTTTGTTTTTGTAAATAAATCTGTAATTATGAACGAATGGATTTCAATTTTAATTAGAAAAATAAAAATATTAAAAATAAATTTAAACTACAATAATTCTGTAAACTAATGGTATCTGCTTTATTACAGATGACTAATGTTTTAATAAGATTTGAATAATTTATACAATCTTTAATTCTAAACATTTATCGAGTTAAAATATATGTATGTAAATGTATAAAAAAAAATAAGTTTTTAAATACTATTTTATGAAAATAATTAAAGATGAGAAACTAAATTATGAGATATAACAAATTTTGAACATAAAATAAGAATGCAATAATATTTGTTTAAAAGAACAATTTCATTGCTTTAAGTAATTATGAGGTTTCAAAAATAAAAATACACTTTTCGGTAGAATTTAGCTCACAATATTTTAGCTTAAATGAAACCATGTATAAAAAATGTGAATAAATCAAAAAAAGTGTAAATTTTATACGTAAGATTTCATTTTGCTTTTATTTGCAAGCTAAAATTACGAGTAATAAGCAATTATTTTCAACAAACAACCCATTGACGATTTCAATTTTATAGTTCGGAGGAAATCGATAGGTGTTATTGAATTAATTTTGGGATTTTACTTCTATCAATCATTTGACATTATTTTCATTGTTAAGCGCAGGCAACCCCAATAGCTGCACCACCAATAAAAGCAGTTATGAATAAATGTAAATCGTTTACTCTTGGACCATTTTCATCGCCAATTAATTTGCTATACCATTTTCTGGTTTTACGCTCAGCACGTTCCAATTTCTTGTCAACGAAACGTTCAGCCTACAAAAAACGTTTAAGAAATACAAAAATAAATAAAGAAGTAATAAAAATCATTCATTTTTTCAATTATGTTATTAAAATTCAAAGTTGGTTAGATATTTGCCCATAAACCTTTTAAATATAGTTTCAAAATATGAAAATATAATATATATTGAGGAATATTTCTGATTTTAATTTTAAACAAATGCATGATCATGAAATAACATAAACAACATAGTTTTTGATCTATTTTAATGCATATATTCAATGCTATTTTATTCGAAAATTAAAATTATTTAAATAAATATTGAAACTTGATTTCTAAACTGTGCTTTTAGTTTATTTCAAATTGAATACTTCGTTTTTTATCCGTTTTAAAAGTCGTTCTATGAACAAGAAATTCCAAGAAATACACCACCTAAAAATGCTACACTGAATACTTTATTGTCCCTTGCCACTGTATAGATCTATAAATAATTTTTAACGTTTTTAAAATAAAAGGCAATGATCAAAGTTACAACATTGAGAGTGATTTCAAAATAGTTTTGAAGTCAATTAATAAAAAAAAATATATATAGGTGGTGAAGCAAAAAAGAGCATAATTTTTTGTAAAGTCCATGCATATTGTATATATATGTATGTATATTTTAAATCACTCACAATGTTTTTAAAAGATAAAATAATTATTATAAAAAATGTTGAGATTTGCATTGAAGTTATGAAATTTTTTTTTTGTAAAATTAAAAACTAATTTTTTAATACTTTTTATGCAAATCAATCCAACATTTTTTTTTTCAATTTTTACCTTATCTATCCATGATGGAGATTGTCCGGTTACAGCGGTTTCTACTTTATCACTAACTTTATCAAGTTTCTTATTAACTTTAGCCCAATCAATGGATATAAAACCTTCATGATGTGCGATTTCGACAAGTATTATTGTGCCACCAATTGCAAATGCAGCTAATTTTCCTACTTTCATTGTAGTAAAACCTGTAAGCCTAAAATTAGTGTTATGTCATATAAGGATTTTTATTTATTTATATAATTATGTAGGTATACCATCCTGAAGCGGCACCAATTCCAATTTGAGTATATGCTGATTTGTTACTACAATTAAAATAATATGTAGAATTTTAATTTTACAATTTTTTTTTAATATTTTGTATATACCTGATATCCCCTAAAATCCCACCTAAAAATTTTGATGCATCATCTGCCATTTTTTCAATTTCTTTATTTTCAATATTTTTTCTAGATTTAGACCAAGTAGCGCTCATATCTTACCTAAAAATTCATTTGAACTATAAAAATTCAAAAATTTAGAACTGAAAATATTATATAATTCGAAAAATTCAAATTTTCATAATTAAAAAATTTATTAATTCATCCTTATATTTAGAAAATGTTTTAATTCGAAAATTAAGCTTGATATGACGAAATTTTTCACATGACGTTTTGCAAATAATTTATTACATATTTCGAATTTTAAAATTTTATATAATAAGGTATACTCACCAAATTAAATGCAAAAACAATTTTTTTATTTAAACAAAAAAGATGAATAATTATTCAAGATTTTTTTTACTTGGTTTTATAGTAAAGACAAAAAAATAATAAGCGCAGAATTTTTTTACGTCTGGAAATCGCCTTGGTACAATATTTATTTTTGACATTTGACAATTTCAATTTATTGATGTAACAAATCAAATGGAGTTTACATGACTGTTTGATTTTCAACAAAATATACGTTACGGAACATTACTGAATAGAGATTTTCTTATTTATGACAATGAAAAATTCGCTTTATATAACATCGAATAATCAATAAAATTATTTGAGAATATTCAATTGACCAAAAATAAAATAATAAGTCCTTGAACTAAACTGCGAGAAGCTTGTTTTTGTGGAAATCATTAAATGTATGGATAGATAAGAATCATCCACGTGGGACTATGGTGTCAGTGGATTCGAAATGTTTGGTGTTGTTCAAGCAACTTAAGCAACTAAACTATTAAATTTTCTATAACCTCACACCAATTCATATTAGAACACATAATAGTATATTTTGCTTAATTTGGAAATGTACGTTTGGAATGGAACTTTTATTTGACACATAAACTTTATGTTACTTTAGTTACTTATACGTGCTCGCAAATAATTTACATTCAAACAGTAATTTCACAACAAAAATCTAACTATGTCAAAGGATGAAGAGATGAGCATTTGCTGAAGCAAAAAACATGATGCCTAAGCACTAAAAGAAATTATGTCAAATATCTTAAAAATTGTTAAGATTTGTTATGTAACTTACTTGATATTTAACTAATTTTGAATTTTCTACGTATTGGTATGTCGCGACGTTCTTATCAGAGTCATCTCAAGTGAAAAAATTTCAAATTAAAGAAATTCATCAAGGGAATTTTGACGTTTATTCTCATAAAAGTGAGCCTATGTGAACTTAGTTTAATTTGTGTAGACCCTCGAGATAACAAAACTATCTATCAGCCGTAGTAGTAGGTACACAAAATATGATGGAAATGTCACATTTGGTTCTATTTATTTGTGAAACAAAAAAAATAAATAAAGTTTTAAATGAAATACCTATTGAAAAGTCTTATAATAATAATTTGCACTTCTCTATTTTTTTGTGAATTTTTTATTTACTATTTAGTAATTAGTCAGGTAAGTAATGTTTTATATGTATATACATTTTTCTGTTTTTGCAAATAAAGTGTTCATGTTTTTGAAGTGCCAATATAATGATAAGATTAAAGAAACGGATAGGAGTAAAAAAATCACGGCAATGATAATTGCTGACACTCATTTATTGGGCCCGCATAGGGGCCATTGGTTTGATAAGTTACGTAGAGAATGGTAATTTTAGATATTTGTATAAATTTTTGGCATTTTGTAAGTACCGTTTCTCCAACAGGCAAATGCACAGATCCTTTCAAACAAGTATTACGCTATTCCAACCCGAAATAGTTTTTATTTTAGGTAGATAATCGCTGTAATTCAGAAATTTTACAATAAAAACTTTGTTTTTTTAGGCGATTTGTTCGATGAAGGAGATTATGTAAAGCATGATGATTTTTATGAATATGTTGATCGATTTCATAGATTATTTTATGTTCCTAGAGGTACCCGAATAATTGCGGTTCCTGGAAATCATGATGTTGGATTTCACTACAGGTTTCTTTAATAATTATTGTGTGAATTTAATGTTTAATTTTACAACTTCTTATTTAATGGACATTTTTAATTTTAAAACTTCAATCCAAACATTATTAGAATGCATCCCTTCTTTACTGATCGTTTTGAACAAACCTTTAATAATACAGGAGTTTCTTTAATTAGTATTAAGGATGTACATTTTGTTACGATAAATTCAATGGCAATGCAAAATGACAGATGTTACTTTTGTGAAAGTGCCAAAGAGGAACTTGAGAAAGTCACTAGTAAATTATCGTTCTTGAAATACCTTTTGACATTGAAATGTAAAAATTGTATTTTGTCTCATTTTCATTTTAGGAACCTTAGGATGCTATAAGGAACCTCAAAGTTGCGCCAGAAACACATTTCGAAGAAATATAAAATACAGTAGACCTATACTGATGCAAGTGAGATCTTATTTAGGCATCTAAGAACGTTTATTTAAAATTATAATATAAATATATTTTTAGCACTTTCCCACGTTTCGGGTTTCAGATGAAGTCTGCTTAGAACACGATTCAGAAAAATTGGAACAGTATAGGGAAAATTGGGAAGTTTTATCGAAAGAATCAACACAACTTTTAGGTACTAAAAACTTGGTTGTAGTTATTAAAATTTAATTTTAAATTTTATTTTGAAATAGTTCACATCGAATATTTTTAGGATCAGCTTTGAATCCAAGATTAGCATTTGGGGGTCATTCTCACCATTCTTGTCGACTTATAAATTCATTAGGAATTGAAGAGTTCACAGTGGCTTCATACAGTTGGAGAAACAAGAATCAGCCGAGTTTTCTTTTGGTAAATATTTTTGATTGAAGTGAAAATTTTGATTTTTACTTTTTTCAGGCAACCTTTTCGCCAGTTGAATATGCAATATCAATTTGTTATCTACCTCAAGAAAATACTATCATTACAATCTATATATGTGTTTTTTGCATTTTTGGTTTATTAATTTTAAAAAAGTTAAGAAAAATTTTTTTAAGGGATTACAAGTCATATCAGAAAACTCAATGAGTTAATTAAATTCATTAAAATTAAATATTTAATGTTGAAAATTTATTTGCAATGTTATTTAAGAATAAGAATATTTCAAATATAAAATGATTTTGCCGCATATATTATGTGCATAATATGGGAAAATAAATTTAAATTTCATTTCCAAAACCCTTGTTGTTTGTTAGTCGAGTAATTAAATCAAATGCCCATTTGGGCTGATTTGCAGGAACCATATGTCCAGCATTTCTGACTAAAACTTCCACCAAGTTTGCTGCTTCTTTCGCGTACCCTGCGATATCACCATCTATTTTCCAAACATATCTAGGTGCTGTTCTATAAATTTCTGCTCCTTCAAATTTCAATTTTTGCAAGTAATTTAATGTAAGAGGATATGCAACGATTATATCGAGCTGACCATTATAAATGCAAACACGATATGTTTTGAGCAGCTCCGCAACCCATGGCGCAACAGTATCCATAATATCTCGTTTAAGGTACACTTCTACTTTATTTTCTCCATCTAAGCCATTAAATGTATTATTTCCGACATGAACAGCTGCTCTAAGCGTTGACGACTGAAGTAATTTTTCCATTCCTGAGTCTGGAGTTTCACCATGGGCATTTAAGTAATCATAATAGTTTTGGAAGCCAGTCAAATTTTGAAATAATGATGTAGGTGTTTGATCCATATCAATTAATGAATCGAAAACCTCAAATGCACAATCCATATCATGTTTTTTAATGCAATCTGTTCCTTCCTTTTCTTTTTTACGGAAAAGATCCCTCCCATTTATATCTATTAAACCAATTTGATATAAATAATCACTGTACTTTAATTGATGTAGTGGATCTGATAATCCATTTCCAATAGCTACACCTTTCATATTTATGTGAATTCTTGGGGGATTCTGTTTTGAATTTTGATTTTCTCTGTGTATTTTATAAGCTAAGGCTGGTACATATTTTCCACCGTACGATTCACCGGTAACCCAAAAATCTAGTTTTTGCAATTCTGGAAACAGGGTGAAAAATTGTTGCATAACTTCATACAGATCCCGCCCAACATCTTTTTCATTTTTTGCATAACATTCTGCAGAGTCAGTAAAACTGAATCCTACGGAAAAATTCAAATTAAAATATAAACATTTATGTAAATATAGATAAAAAGTTTGCAATTGCAGTTACCAGTTCCAACTGGGTTATCAATATAAATTAAATGATGATTTTTGCTCCACGTATATTTCCGTTTGCCTAATTTTCCATCTTTATCTACTTGAAAAGGACCCTTAAAAATTTTTTGTATAATTAAATATATACAACATAGAACTAATAATAATAATTTTTTTATGTTTGTAACAATCATGTAGGCATTAAAGTATTGTAAAATATGCCTACATATTTTATTAATACATGCCCATATTTATGAAATCAATTATATAGTACACAATGCATTACATACATTTTCTGCAAATAAGCCAAATAAAGATGAAGCACCTGGACCACCTTGAAGCCATACTACAACAGGTGAGCTAAACAAAAGCAGTTCTTAAATATTACATTAAAATTAAAACATTATTTCCTATTACCTTTCAGGAGAAGATTCGGAGACAAAGTACCAAAAGAACATATTCGCATTACAGCTCTTGTTAACATTCAAATACCCAGAAAAACTTTGTATTGAAGGGAAACCTTCTATGTTTACTTGAGAAAGATTTCTCGCCACATCCAATTTACCTTTTTCTATATACGGCGTCAAGTATACTGAAATTTTGAATTGATTTAAATTTAAATTAATATTTAATAATTTGAATAGATTCATTGTAAAATTTCTTCTGTGTACGTGCATAGTATTCTAATTACTTTTTAAATTTATTAATATAAAAAATACTTACAAGGCTCACCAGGATCTCCACCATCATTGTAAGATTTGAATTTAGGATAAACATTGATAAAAGAAGCGGAAGTTATTGAAAAATATATGTTTATTAAAATTAATATAAAAAGTTTCATTGTTCTTTAAGTTATTTCTTCTTTAGTTCAAATTGCAATAAATCGTAATATTCAAAAAGGAATATGTATTCTAACTGAATATATTTAAAATACTTCTGATAATGTTTTTGAACTTTCACACCCGGCTAATGTAAACAAACTTGCTGATCTTACAGTGGTGGAAAAATAAATTCGCTATATTTAATTAAACCAATATATATTATCTCTTCTATTATAAACCTAAGTATATACTTTTGTGTAGAAATTTGGAATATGTGTTTTACGTCACTAAAATTTTACAAATGTTTTTAATTTTATATTTTTAAGTATTTCTACATAATATGTATATAATTTCAATTTTGTGCATAAATGCACATTGCACATGTACTATTGTACCTACAAAATTTTGGAAGGGTTGAGAAACACCGGCATATTTAAGAATCGATATGCAGAACACCCGCTTCACTTATATCCTGAATACAGAGAAAATATTCCTTTATCCAAAGGCTTTGCAATACGCATAAAAGAAGCCATAAATGCAATAATTTTAATACCAGTAAATATAGATTTTTTACAGTTATTGCTGTTCAAATTACATTTTTTTTTTCATTTTGAAGTCAATATTTTTTTATGCATACATACAGAAATACATATAAAAATTATTAAAGTTATATTAATAAAAAAAATCAATTGAATGAAGAGTAAATAATGAAATATAAATAATAAAAAAACAACTTCAAATTCATTGTTCTATAAATTTAATTCAAAGTAGACTATTTAGTGAGATATTTGTATTTGTTGTTTACTTGAAAGCAATTGAATATTTAAAGGGCAAGCAAATATGCGGCGGGGCGGGGTCGCACAAAAAACCTTAGAGGCCACACGCAGCCTCGAGGCGGCAGGTTCCTAACCTCTGCTATAGAGTATAGGGTATAATCTTCTTAGTTCAAGTTATTTTTGATTTTTAATAATATGTTTAGCAATAATTTCCTACTTTGTATATTAAGCAACAATATTTAAACAATGAAAATCTTCAGAACAATGAAGCAATAAGCGCATAATTTCAACATAAGCAAATAAAAACTCTATTTTTTTGACTGGTAACGACAGTACTATTACATTAAATTAATATTATTATAAATTTTAATTTTAGAATATTTTAAAGTATTTTTTCTAATACATTTCGCAACTACACAGATTTATAAAAGAAAATGCATAGCCATACATCGGACGTGCTCTACTCCACAACATAAACAATACGATAAAAAATGGTAAGTCTAGCTATGGAAGTGTCACGAGTCTCGCTTTTTGACATTTGTTATCACTTTGGAAATTTTGGTTTAAGTTTATTTTCATGTTCGTTTCACAAGAAATAATGTTTAAATTAAATTTTCAGTAATATTTAAATTAAAAATTTGCATGTAAATTGAAAAGGCCAAATATAAACAAAAAAACTTTTTTTGAATAAGAAAGTACGTACCTTTGTGACAAAAAGGAATAGGTAAATATTTTACTAAATCTACATACAAAAAACTTAAAAAAAGTCTATGGTACATGTTTGCTAAAAATACAAGTTTTTTTTATAAAACAACTTGCTTTGGTAAGTAATTTTTAACGCATTTAGAGGGATTGATATACTTTCGATCAATTTGAAACTGCTTCAATCTCAAATAAACTGTTAACCATGTTTAATACTTATTGAACATGGTAATTCGATATCAAATTAAGTTGGGGAGCGAAGAAGTGTGAATATGATGTCACAATATATGTATGTATGTATGTTTTACTTTTTAGTTGCGAGAACAAATACAAAATTTTTATATAACAAGAATAATTTTAGTTCTTATTATCAATAGAAAGTTTATAATTTTATTATTTTATGTGCTTTTATTTGTGGTAAGCAAGATAAGCCGGTACGCAGGTAGATGTACATACATACATACATATATTTTCTACAGAGGTCAATAATCTTGACTTATTTCCAAATTTTCTGTAAGCCAAGGGTCAAAACTTGTTCTTTTTACACAAAAATTTGGTGATAAAGTATGTACATATATGTATGTGATGTAGGGCAATATTGCATGTGTATTTGTAGAAACATAACTTTGAGATTTTTTAGATGCAATACACGAGACATTCATGGCAATCTTTTTCGTAGCAAGATTTATATGTACATTCTAACCAACATATCAGTTATTATACATATATGTGAGATATTCAATTGTATATTTAGTTTTATATAACAAACAGCTTTTACTTTATCAGTTCTGATTTGTGACACAGAGAATATCGTTGATATTTAAACTATTAGTGACTTAAAAAAAAACTTGAATTGAGAAATTTTTTAAGATTTAATAATACCAACCGAAAGATAATAATCACCTTCCATTTTAAGTAGTTTCATTAGCACGAAAGATACGTTTGGAACACGAACTCAACGTAAGGTACTATTATTTATGGGAGTATTTTGTTAACAATATATTAAATAAACATGTTTTTTGTACATATCTATATGCATATGGTTTTAGTCAATATTTTCATTATTTTTTGTATTTTATTACTTACATACATACATCTACATTGATAATGCAAATTGATAAAAAGCTTAAAATATCAAAAATTTATAACATTTACGTAGGTTACGTACTCTCATATCTAGATATCATTAATATTCAAATGGTCTACTTGCTAAAACTATGATAACAAAGTCAAGAAGGTCAAAAATTTAATCAAAAAATGTTAAATTGAAATTTCTTTAATATTAACCTTTATTTAAACTGAACTATTTATTTTATTTTATATCTTTAGGTTCTCATTGTGAAATTTTGGAATATTTTTCGTTAAAAAAGAAAGTAAATATGCGTCTTATTATTTTGGACAGTACTGCAGCAGTTGGAGATTGGGCTGCGAGATACGTTATGAAACGAATAAATGCTTTCAAACCAGGACCAGATCGGTATTTATAAATTTTATATAAATTTAAATCAATAGAAGGAATTTTAAATTAGTTTTATTAATTTTTAGTTATTTCGTTTTGGGTCTTCCAACTGGTAGTACACCTTTGGGAATGTATAAAAAATTGATTGAATTTTACAAAGCAGGAAAAGTATCTTTTAAATATGTTAAAACATTTAATATGGATGAATATGTAGGATTACCGAGAGATCATCCAGAAAGTTATCATTATTTTATGTGGAATAATTTATTTAAGCATGTTGATATTGCTCCCGAAAATGTTCATATTTTGGATGGAAATGCAGAAGATTTAGTAAAAGAATGCAACGAATTTGAACGTAAAATATCTGAAGCTGGTGGTATTGAATTATTTATTGGTGGTATTGGTCCAGATGGTCATATCGCTTTTAATGAGCCGGGTTCATCATTGGTTTCAAGAACTAGAGTAAAAGCTTTGGCTCAAGATACATTAGAGGCAAATGCTAGATTTTTTGATAATGATATGAACAAAGTTCCTACACAAGCCTTAACTGTTGGTGTTGGTACTGTTATGGATTCAAATGAAGTTATGATCTTAATAACGGGAGCACACAAAGCATTTGCACTGTATAAAGGTATTGAAGAAGGTGTCAATCATATGTGGACCGTTAGTGCATTTCAACAACATCCTAACACTTTAATGTTATGCGATGAAGATGCTACCTTGGAATTGCGTGTGAAAACTGTAAAATATTTTAAGGTATTTTTATACATTTTATTATATGCTAATTTCTAAATTTTCTGTTTCGGAAGCTTTACTAAATTAAATTTTATTTTTATAAATTTTTGTTATGATTACAATTTGTATTGGCGTAGTATTGTATACGTAATATGCACGAAATAATGGGATGAGTATTATTTTTAATGGAATTCTGGTCAATACTAAAATAAATTTATTATATCTAATAATATTATTAATATTTACTAACAACCTATCAATAAAACCATTATCATTTTGTAAATTTTCATGACTTAAATCTTAATAAACAAATGATTATATTACTGTAAATACAATAAAAAATGGTAGGGGGTTTCTTTTTAATATCTCAAAATAAAACAAAAATTAAAAATGGATACATAAACATCCTCTCATCTTTCAGGGATTAAGTGCAGTTCATCATAAATTAATTGAAGACGATGTTTTAAATGTTCGTTAAATATAAATTATTTAGTAGTCGCAAGGTAGTCATCATTTTAATGAAATTCTTACAGTTGGTAGTAAACATTAGAATTGATTTTTCTTATAAATGAAGTTCTTTATTTTAATAAAAAAAAAAAAAGAGTTATAACTTCATATCAAAGAATTGATTCTTCGAAAAAATCAAAACAAAAAAAAAAATAATTAACTTAAAACTTGTTATTAACTTTTGTTTTTTGTTATTTCTTTATCATATGGTTAAATTTTGTTTTTCTAATTAAAAAATAATTAAATTTTCTTTACTTGTAGGGTTTAATGGAAACTCACATGAAACTGATTGAGGGCACATAATCCGTAACATATTATCAACATGTTCACCTAACAAGATAATTAAATGTGTAATTAAATAAGAAAAAATTTATACAATTCTATGTTTTGCATACTTTTATAAAATTTTGCGATTATGCGAAAAACAAAATAAAAATTTAAATTTTATAACTTCAAAATAAATATTTTTTAAAAAAATTTGGCTAATTTTCATTTTAATTTTATCAAATCAATAGAAACAATTAAAAAAAAGTGTGGAATAATCATTTGATTATTAAAAGTATACTAAACATTAATTTTTAATAGTTTTAAAATTTCTCTAAAAATTTAAATCTCTTAAAGAGTAATTTAAAAATTTTTTGTCGCACTCGTAAATTAAAGTTTTTTAAATAACATTAAAAAAAATTTTTCAAGAAAAGTCAAAATTTTTTCTGCAAAATTCAAAAGAAAATTTACTGCTGAAATTAGCAATTATTGGTCGATAATCTGAACTCTAGTAGTACACATATTTAATTCCTGTATGTACTCGAATATACTTTTAAATTATTAATCTTATCTTTCAGGAATCGAGAATATTCGTGATTTAGAACAGGATTACTACTAAAAAATAAAAGTTAATTATAGTCAATAAGTAGTTTCTGAAATTTGAAGTTGCATACATATTCTAAAGATTTAGATATAAGACAGCTCGAGTTACGATATCAAAACAACTGTGGTTTTAGTCCTTATTGAAATAATACAAATATTATAAATCAACACTAGAATGTGCAAAAATCATAAATGTTTTTAATTACTATGCAATAGTTTAACGATTCCGGGAAAGGCATTAAAATAATTCATGTGTTAACACAAATTCTATAAAAGCTGTTATTGGCACTTATTTTATTAATTAATGAAAAATACAATAATGGAATTTTTAAAAATTCAAAATTCTTGATAATGTTGTCGTTTATTGAATTAAACAATAATCCTCAAGAGCGCGAATGTAATAAACATAAATATATTTATGGTGTTCTACTTAGCTTGTGGGAAAAACCATGAGCATTTTTAACGATTGTCTATATTATTTTGAGGAAAACGAATTTGATTTTGATGTGATCAGTAGGTAATGGTCGAAAAGAGGGTGTCAATAGGTAAATAATGTGATTTTATGATGATGACGGATGATATTAATGAAATTAAGAAAAAATTGATTAAACTTTACTATATTATTTTTAAAAATTTCGATATGAATTTGAGAAAAGAAGTGTTGAAACGTTGTTTTACCATACTATAGTGTCTTTTTTTTTTATTGAAAATTATGTAGTTTATGCATGACATGTCTTTGGCTTATTTTAAAAAAATCAGTTCGTCGTTTGATGATAAATTTCAAAACTTATGTTTCAAGAAAAGAAACAATTCTCTTGATAATCACTTGATTTATTAAGGGTTCTTTAGGGTCAAAGTTATGTTATGAGTCTGTAAGAATGAAAAATGATCATCTTAATCTTTGATATTTAAAAATGTTCAATAAAATTTTAGAAAACTACGAGTAAATATTCTCATCATATCCTTTATGGAAAAACCCTAAAAGTAATAAAAATACCTCTTGAATTCAAATTAAAAATAAATCCCCCAGTAATTAAATGCCACTTGTAAATCAATTTTTGTAACTCGAAACGTTTTTGTTTTGCTTTTTTTTTTAATTATTATTCTAAAATCTTAATTTACTTAATTATTTTAAAAAATTTTGTATGTATTAATTTTTAAAAAAGAACAGTTCAAATTCCATTCATGTTCATAAAACTGTCTGAAAGTTTTTTTAATCACACATAATGAACGCATATTTTGATAAAAATCGAAAATCTTTTTTAAAAATTTTTTAAAAACTGATTAAATGTTATTAAATTTTATTAATTACTGATAATATAAATAAAATATACTTTGATTATTATATGTATTATAAATAACTGATCTTTATTAATTAATTATGAATAATTGGTACCTATAAACCTACATATACATAAGTGTGAAGTATTCAATCAAATTTCAATAGCCTTGTAGTAGACACATTTAAAACGTGTATCATAATTATTTTGTACTCACAATTATTGTTTTCATATAGATATAATGGTGCAATACATAGATTATAAATCCAAAAAATATTTATGTTTTTGTATATGATTATTAAATTTTTAAGAAATCTATAATATAAAGATACAAATCCTTATCGTTTTTAAAGTATATAAAGAAGAATTTCAGTTTTTTGATCAATACCATTGATATAAATTTCGTGTAAATTGAATTTAATTTTCATTATTAAACAATAGTTCAATAGAGTATTTTATTTTAATTTTCGTTTGAGGAAAAAGATTAATTAAAAATGAAATTTTTAATTTTTATATTATATTTTATTAGTTTTGTTTTACAAAATACTTTAGGTAATTTTTATACTCTTTTTATTAAATATTTATTTAATTTTGAATTTACTGATAAATTAATAAATTTTTCAAATTATTATTATAGGATCAACAAAGGATATTTCTTTAAATAATATAATTAATAAAAGTTCAGGAGAAAAACTACTATTCCCGATACCACAAGTAAATGAAAATTTTAAATGGATGACTTATGATGAAGCAAAAAATGAATATGATCATATGATACTGCCAAGAAGTGCAGATGTTTTAGTTAAATTTTATCTTTTTACAAGTAATAATCCATCTGATGGTGAATTAATTTATATGGGAGATAAAGATCAATTTAGAAATTCTAATTTTAATCCAAATCATCCCACAAGGTAAATTGAATTTGAAGTTTTTGTAAAAATAATATTCAAAATTTATATATGTATGTATGTGTTGTTATATAAATTTCAATATTATATAATTATCTTCCGTAATGGCCGAATTTATAAAATTGTGTATATTTTTTTTATAATTTTGAAATTGTGGTAATACTGTATTGCTACAGCGAATTGCTGCAATTAGAACTCAAACTAAACTGAATTGTGTAGTATTACCGTAGTTATGTATGTACTTTAACATTAATATTATAATATTTTATAAGTTGTAATTGACTACTTTTAGGCGTATTAATTTTGTTATATGTAGATTGAAAATTTTTAAGTTACTACATTTATTATTTGTAAAATAATGTTTGGAGAGTTAAAAAATTGCTAATATTTTTATTACAGGTAGAAATAAAATTAGTGTATCACTTAGAATCTACCACTTGGATCTTATACTTTTGAAATGTTGTAATTTCATTCAAAATTTGTTATTTTATTTAATGTAGTAATTTTATTTATGTTTCATTTCGACTCAGATCAATAATTCAGATTCAGATCAATAATTCAGATAAGGATTATATTAAAGATAAAGAATCTTATTACTGCATTATGCAAATTATCAAGGACTTTATTAACTTTAAGTTTATTTTATATCTTTAAAAACTAAAAAAAAAACGAAAGGTCTTAAAAAAAAAAATTAATTATTTTTTTGTCTTATTTGATTTTTTCTTCTAGATTTATTATTCATGGGTGGATGAGTAGTGTTAACTCAACAATGAATATACTTATACGTGATGCTTACTTAAAACATGGAAAACATAATATTATTGTTATTGATTGGAGTTCAGCTGCAATAAATTTAAATTATGTAGCAGCACGTTTTAAAGTTGAAAATGTTGGAAAACAAGTTGCCGAATTAATAGATTTTCTTAATAATTATGCAAAATTATCATTTAATGATATACATTTAATTGGACATAGTTTAGGTGCACATGTTTGTGGTTTTATTGGAAAAAATGTTAAAAATGGTAGAATACCAATTATTTTTGGTTTAGATCCAGCATTACCATTATTTCAATATATTGAAAAAAATAAACGTTTATCAAATGATGATGCATTTTATGTAGAAACAATTCATACAAATGGTGGTTTTCTTGGTTTTATGGATCCAATTGGAATATCATCATTTTATCCAAATTATGGTAGTCAACAGCCTGGTTGCGGTTTAGATTTAGGTAGAAAATGTTCACATGAACGTTCATTTGAATTATTTGCTGATGCTATTGAAAATGATTATTTTATACCACGTCAATGTAATACATTTGATGATTTAGTTAATCAAAATTGTAATAATATAATTAGTAAAGATATTAAAATGGGTTCATATTTAAATGCATTTAGAAATGCTAAAGGAATATTTTATTTACCAACTAGTTCAAGTAAACCATTTAGAAGATAATTTACTAATTAAGTAACAGGAAATTTTTTAAATAATTTTTATAAATTTTATTATAAAATTTTTAATGATAAAAAGTTTTTCTTTTGGAAAGATGGATAAGATTAATGTAAAATAATTTTAAATAATTTAGAAGAAAATATTATATTTTAAGATTTTTATTAATGTAAGAAATTTTTGTATAATTTTGTTTAATGAAATTTTAATGTGTAATTTGATAGCTATTATTACAATTAAATAAAATATTTATTAAAATATAAAAGAAATTGTTTGATGAAATTATTTACATTTTTGATGGTAGCAATTTTATTTTCTAAATTTCATGATAGCGTTTGCGTTTCTCACAAAACAGTTCCTTTCACAACACAAGATTGAAACAAAAATAACAACATTTCCCTAAGCTATAACAATAATGAGAATATGACCAGGAAATATTGATATAAAATTTCCTATCCCAACAGTTGTTTGTACAATAGGTGCACGTAGGTATACTAAAAGTATAAAGTGATTTTATTGTTTTATGATTTGTTACATAGTATTTTAAGAGTTAAATTAGATTATGTATAGTAATTTGGTTTAAATTTCCATTTCAAGTTTGCATATTAAATGAAAATTATTGCGTTAGATCCTTAAATGATAAAGTACCTATGTTAATTCCAAATTTTTGAAAAAATTTCAGTTTTAAATTTAGCTTAGAATGTAAAAAATTAAATTAACATTTTTTTTTTAATTTTTTCATTTCATTAATTTTTATTTTTGATTTTTCATTCCAAAATACAAATACGAATATACAATATATTTATATATGTATGTGTATACACAAATATAATTTCTTAATTATTCCCTCGGCCATAAGGAAAATGTTCATTGGTTCCTAAATAAAAAATTCCTTTAGTCTTTGAATAATTCTCTAAAGAGGCCATTTTTGTTAGTTTTGTTGGTTTTGAACAATTCTTTTTTAAAAATTCATCATAAGTTTCACAACCAATTGCAATGAAATTATTTTTTAAAATTGATTCTGCAAAATATTTATATGCTCTTTGATGTGAACATTGACCATTCCAATCATAACCGCATCCATCTTGATATAGACCCCAATTTGGATAAAATGTTGTAATACCAATTGGTATTTTAAAACCAAGTATACCAGCATTTGTTTGAATTGTTTCAACATATTCAGCATCATCATCAGATAATCTTTCATCAATATTATCTAATGAAAATAATGGATATGCTGGATCAAGACCATATATAATAGGTATTTTACCAGTTTTAATTGTTTGTCCAGCATATCCAGCAACATGTGCACCTAAACTATGTCCAATAACAATTAAAGTATATAAAAATAAATGATTTTCTCTTTGTAAAAAATCAATAAATTCAGCAACATAATTTCCAACATATTCAACACTATAACGAGCTGAAATATAATTATATGTATCAGCAGCTGAACTCCAATCAACAACAATAATATTATATTTTCCAACTTTTAAATATGCTTCACGAATAAAACGATTTACAGCTGAATTATGACGATTTCTCCAACCATGAATAATAATTCTAAAATATGAAATTTTTAAAAGAACAAATTAAATGCATAAAATTTAATTTTATTAATAAACTTTTAAAAAAATATTGCATACCTTGTAGGATAATTTGGATTAAAATTTGAAACTTTCAAATTATAAGTGTTATTAATTTGAATTATTTCTCCAATTTCTTGATTTTTGCTTGTAAACAAAAAGAATACAACATTTAAAATTCCTTGTGGTACAATTAAATTTAGAAATTCTTTTTCAGCTTGACGATGTGACATAAACCGGAATGATCCATCAGCTTGTGGTACTAAGGAATATTCGTCATTCTTATGTTTCTCTCCTGGTAAATCATTTCTTGTTAAAGCGTTTTTAATATTAATTAATACTGGAAATATTCAACGAAAATGTTTATTTTAATAAACTTTTGTTTTGAATTTAATTTTAATTTAATTTACTTGTTATAATTAAAATTGAAAGTAATAACAATCTAAAATTAAACATTTATATATAGGAAGTAAAATATTGACTAAAAGATTCGAAATAAAATGCAAACTATGAAATTTTTTTAAGCATATTTCGCCATAACCCTTTAGTTATAAATTTTAAATTTGATAAGAAGTTCTATATGTACGTATATGTGAGGTGATAATAAATTCTTAACAATATTAAAATTGAATAATTATCAAAAATTCTTATAAATTTTAATATAGATAAGATAAAAGTAAGCTACTCGTATATAGATTAGTAAAATATTTCAAATGGGGTTAAATTATTTTTGGAAATTGATGTTATAGAAGATGATTTCGATACACGGAGTAGATAAAATCATGGAAAGTTTATTAAAAAGTACCGCTTGTATATTGTGATTTAAAATTTGTGCAATAAAATATTATTGAACGTAGAACGGACCGTCATTTATTTTAAACATTTTTTAGTAATTTCTTTACTTATTTGATATTGACTTAAGTTTATATTAAAAATTTTTGAAATTTTGAATGGAATGTAAGATAAAATTGTGACTAGAGTTGATAAAAAAAATTTGGTCTCACATAATCACATAAAGTACGTACGTGAGCTTTTGCATTTGGCCTCAAATAATTAGTTGAATAATTAAATAATGTTATCACAATACTTCAGTATGAATTGGTATTAAGAAATAAGATTTGGGGATTAAGACTCATCAAACTAACAAATTTAAAATTATTTACTGATATTATGGAATTTGTCAATTATTTATCTGTTAAATTGTTTTTTATAAACTATTTTTTATAGTTGTAATTATTCAATTTTAATTTTTCAGTAGTTTGCTTTTTATTGTTAACTGTTCTATGCAAGAGCGTATATTATTTTTGTGTACTGATTGAAATTTATCCATAATACGGGTTGCTAAATAAAGTGGTATACATATTCGGTATAGATCTTCGTTTGTATACGAAAAAAAAAATTGTTCAACAAGAGGCCAATCTCTCTCTCGATTAGCTTGGGAGGTAGAAGCTCTAAATTTTCTGAATTTGTTTTCCAATTCATTCAATTTTCCAATTATTTCATATTTTGCAAGTCTTTTTTTTTTTGTTTTTTTTTTTTCCTTCTTCACTCCTAGGAGGAGTATAGGGCTAGTGCATGATATCTATCATGCCCTAGTTTCTATAGTCATAGAGAGTTAACTAGGTAGGTGACTAGCCTACCGTAGTTTTTATTTATATTAAATATTTCAGTTTATTAATATTTACTGTTTATTTGAAAATTATTTTTTTTATTAAATTATTTATTTTTGCAAGTCTAATACCCAAAAAATCGAATGCAACAAATTGTTTTCTTTTTTCTATTTTTTCATAATAATTGTGCTAAAACTTTTACATTCTGATAAAAACACAAACAAACACAGCCATAGTATATTCCAAAATTTTAAATATTATCAATTTCATTTTTAGGTCCTTTACATGTACCCTTAAGGTGTGTTATAATGATTAAATTAAATGGACTCTCATTAACATTTATCTGTGATCTTAAAATAAAAAAAAAATTTATACTGTTGATATACTTTTAGTCCTTTATTTTTATTGTGATAAAAAGATTAAAATAATTTTGGACCTACTAAAAAAATAATTATTATCTAGAATATTTCACACATACTTTTCTATATTAAATTAATATTTTTCTAATTATTTTGTATATTATATAATGAAGTGGTAATTTTAATTATTTTATACTTTAATATTTTTAAAAAGGACAACTTGCGATGTATGGTCAATTTTATACCGACCGAATTGTTTTTTATTTTCTGAATAATATTCAAAAATTTCAATGATTTTGTTTTAATTACCGCAGAGCTCTAGGCTTTAACACACTAAGGGTCTATCGCAAGAGTAATAAGAAAGAAAAAGTAAGGCTGGATAGGTCACACATTGTGATGACCATCTGAAACAACTACAAGGCCGGTATTGCAAGGAAAGTGAAACCCACAAAGGAAAAAGCGTTGGACGACCCAAAAATACATGGCAAAGGACTATAAAGAAAGAAATCGCTACATTTAACATGACATGAGCAGAAGTAAAACGAATGGCCTCTTACAGAGTTCTTTCGAGAAGCTTTCTGCATTGAAAATATTTTTTTTTAAGATTGTAAAAATATTTTTTTTTCGTTGCTTTTAATTCTGTTTTATAAGGAGATTGAAAATGTAAATTCTTGTTAGAGATTCAACTTTATAGAATCTAGGAGTTTGATTGTTCTACAAAGTGTGTTAGTTAACAAAAATAATTTATATATTAAAATACAAGAATCGAATGGTCAGTATTTTCTTTAAAATGATAAAGAAAACATAAAATAGTTCCGTAAGGCCCATGTAGCTGAAGCCTGGAGTATCCTAAAATTTACTAAATTAATTTTTTTTTGAAATTTTCTTAAGAAATGCGGACGCGAAAGACATTTACTAAAACATTCATTTCTTTTTCCATATTGTAATTTCATATTTGGGTCAATTAACTCTTATAGCTTTTTTAGTGTAATTTTGTTAAGAAATTGAATAGAGGTAACCAGTTTCAATAAAAGTTTCATTTAATTGTTACAACTTTATAATTTACAATAATTTTAAAAAAGAATTTTTCTCTCTATTTCAAACGATTTGAAATTTTCAATTGTAATTTAAGATAAATATAGTTTCCTAAAAGTATGCAAATTTTCGAATTTTTGCATGCATAAAATTTTTTATTACCAACACAAAAATTGTTTTGTTTTTTCAGCATAGCAGCATAGTTAGCTAGCTAAAATGAAATACCAATGCAAAATATAAAATACCAATTTTAGTAAAAACAAATTATATAAAAATATTAAATAGCACGTTTGGTAGTTAAGCAATTTGATGAAAAAGTGGAAAGTAATAAGAAAAATAATTATTAATATTTTAGTAATTTAATTAAAAATTATTATACTAGTTTCAGTAGTAAGGAATACAACAAAGTTATTTGAATTTTTGTTTTTTTTAAATAATTGAGCTCTTCATTAAATAAACAATTTTAAAGAGTGAAACTATTAAATGAAAAATATCCTTTTTTAAAATTCATTTGTTTTCGTTTTCTAAAATTACTTCCTTTCTCATTGATTTTGTAACAATGGTGTAAAGATTTTGGTATTTAGTTGGTAATATTATATAAATGTCATGTGTAGAATCATATTAGGATATCTATAAGGTGCAAAAGTGAGAATAAAAATTATTTTAAAAATATGTTTTCGTGAAAATATTTCTCTGTATAATTTGAAGATAAAAAATTCTACTTAAACTTCTCCCACTAATTTTCTTAAAATAATTTAATATATAAGACTAAATTCTATATCTTTATTAATTTTGAATCTCTAATCTCATATACGTTATCTTGCAGTTGATTGAAGAAAGGAAAGAATTATGATATACAAAGGAATTCTAATAAATTTGCAAATAATTTTTTCGAATTGTTAACTCATTCATGCTTAGGAGTATATAAGTCATTTATAAGCTATATGATTTCACTGCTTTAGCTAAATTCAGGGATTAAAATCAATTTATTTGAAAATTTTTTAATATCAATCTTAAACATTTTAAAAAAATTAAAATTTTTAGTATGAATAGAGTAAATTTTTTTGAAAAGTTTAATTTTTTTATTCACCATAATAAACGATTTGAATCAGTGGGTTATCAATAAATTTATTATTAATTTGAATTAAAATCAAAAGCTACAAGATGTGTGTGATTTCAGTTTGAGTAATAAAATGTGTACAATTTACATTTTCCAAATTTGGTAACTATTTCTAGTGATCTGGCTCACGTATATAATTGATAAACTATTTAACTATTGAGGTCTAATCTAAGATGATTGATCGTGGCTAGCTAAAATTTTTGAAAAATATAAATAAAATTAAAAAAAAAATGCCAATTTTATAAAATTTGTGTAAAAATTATAAGTTAAACATTCCAATAAATCAAATTTCAACTGTATTTTGCACGAAATTTTACATGGTATAGCGGCGAACATAAATTAATTATTCAATTTCACCATAAGATATAAAAACATCAACTATTCAATTGAGCATTTTTTCTTAATTAAATATCAACTATTTCAAAAATAAAAATGTAGCACCACAATGGCAAATAATGGCAAATAATGGCGAATACAGAGCATAAAAAGAATAAAATATTTTTCCTTTATAAGAGATGAATTTTAAATTAAATATAAGCAAGAAAAAAAGAAAGTCCTGTTTGACCTTCACGTAAAATAAGTTTTCCATTGTTCTTATGTATTGAAAGTTATTTTTCTGCTTTTGTTCACTACTTTGTACAAAAATTAATTCATACATTTGCTTTTGTGTGCATTTTCAAAAAAAAACCTGGAAGAAATACCACTCAGGGCTTTACTCTGTCTGTCTGTCTGCGAAATCTTCTATGTTGTTCAAAATAGAAAAATTAAATTGAGTAAAATTCATTTTGGTTAAGGCATAATTTTTGTAGAATTAAATTTTTTCGCACTTTTCTTTCCCACAAAGCAGAAAGATTAGAAATTACTTTTTAAACTAATTGAATTATCATTATTGGAAATTGAATTCCCAAATTAAGCGTTATCCGAATTCGGGTTTGGTGCATCTTAGTTTAATCGCAAATTTTACAGATCAATTTTTTAGTTTAGTGAGCTTACGCCATCAGATTTTGCAAAACGTCAATTCAACGCTGTTAGCTCTATTAAATTTTCAATAATAATTTTAATAAACGCAGAATGTATAAATAGTTTTATATTAGTATGTTAATATAATGTTAACAGTAAAATGTAATTTCCGTTTTTTCTAAGTATTTTAGAAAAAATAATCAAATAAATTTCCTCCTAAATTTATTCAAATAAAAAAATTGTTTTAATAGATAGT